CTGGTATGAGAGCCACACAGGACTCAGGAGACTAACTATGATGAATAGCTAACTAACAGCTCTCAATATCCTAACGTCAGTGAGAGATCTCACTGTGTGTGTGTGAATACAGTGTGACTGATGTAACTCTCAGTATGGTCCTAAGAGGGTGTGTGTGGTGCAGTGAAGGATCCAGAGTTCAGACGCTGTCTGTTGCTGAAGCGTTACAGAAATGTAAAGATAATTTCCAAATGTGCCGACATACAGATGTAGGATCTTAATTTGATCACCTTTGTTGCTGAGGATTGTCCTGCACATCAGGAAATGCAAACTTGTTGTGTATTCAAAGTTTTAAAAGGCTTCCAAAGTTTTTAATTTTCTCTTTAAAATGTCAGACTTGATTTGCCCTAATGAAACATTTATCAACCCCTACAAAAAATGGCCATTAATTATAATCCACATAATCATTCACATTTTCTGTTGCTGCAGGATTATTTTCCTGCTGTAGAAAACTGGCTCAAATTATGATCCTACATCTGTATACAGCATTTACTATGAATTCAGTCTCCGCTAACGCGGGAACATTGCCTTTAAATATAAATCACGCTGTAACGTTGAACTTCCGCAATACGGATTGAATAGATGTCTCTCATGGTGAACATCAGACATTCTGACACACACACAGCAGTAAAGAGCATGCTTAACAGTGGAGTGGCACAATGATATGTTTATTGAGGCTTTGGGTGGTAGAAAAGAAGGAGGTGGAGAACGTTACAACAACATAAAAATACTCTTCATATTGGCAAACACTGACCTCCATATTCACACTAACCAGAATCTCCATATGACACAGTCTTCATAGTGAACAGAAGTCTTTAAGGGCTAGATGCCTTCATATTACACAAACAGCAGACCACCCCCATTTATCAAAGGTTTATACAGAAACATGACAATAACAAGACAAGACAGTTCACAGTTTTACCACAATTCAATTACATGGAGATTCACAGTCAAATTCTACATCTGAGGGAGTTCAGGCACAGCAAAGCAAAATATTAATTTTCAACCAAAATATATTTTGCAAATTTTAAATCAATATGATCTGTATCTTGTCCATTCTCCTGTAGCCCTCTCTGTATGTCGACAGTCTGGAATTCAATCAAACACGTCATGGCGATGTTCATATAGTGTCTTTGTTTACAAACTACTGCAAACACATGCTTCTTATTCTGAAATCTGGAATTATCTACATCTATCTCCCGAGTGGTGCAGTGGTCTAAGGCTGTGCCACTAGACGCTGGGCCAATTGTCGTCCAGGTTAGGGGAGGGAATGGCCGGCAGGGATGTAGCTCAGTTGGTAGAGCATGGCGTTTGCAACACCAGGGTTGTGGGTTTCATTCCCATGGGGGGCCAGTATGTAAAATACAAATAATGTATGCACTCACTAACTGTAAGTCACTCTGGATAAGAGTGTCTGATAAATGAAAAAAAAAAAAAAAGAGAGTAAAGGTATGTTTTCAGGAACCAAAACCATTCTGTGATTTGATTTCACCTGACCATGGAATGTAGAGCTACTGTGTAGGCTAGATACTGCAATGTGTGTTTGATTGAGTTGAGCCCAGTGTGTTTTCCCGTCTGACTGGGACAGAACCATTTAATACAAACACTAAGGGTTATTATATGGGCTGTGTACAAAATGGCACCCTATTGCAAAGTACTCTATGTTGGCTCAATGAGGTCTGTGGACCCTATACAGCAGATAACCTTAGTTTATCCCAAGTTAAGCGCTGCATAAATGGAACCTTATTCCCTTTTCATGCACTTTTATCTACACGACTATTCTGACCTTGAACTTAAGCATTAAAATATCATGCTATTCACCCACTAGTCCTTTGGGATGGAGAGCAAATAAATGAAAGTGGGGCGGAGCGGAGGTGTGTCTACAGATACGTCGTATTCTTGACTTCATTCCCTCATAATTCCACCACCTATACGAGCGATGAAACGATTATTAAGGTCGACCAACCTGCCGGTTCCAAGTGGAACAACATCTACTTTCTTTTTTCCAATAGAAATAACACCATTATCCATGCAATATAATAAAAAAGTATTAAGAACTATTGATAAGAGCTAGGTAAATGAGTAAGCCGTTTCGATAAGTGGATTGTAAATATAAATGACAAATGTTATAGATCTATTTTACCTTATGATCGCTGAAAACACATGTGAAACCAGTCATATGGCAGCAAACTGAAGCATATCAACATATCGCCTTTTCCACACTGAAGTTTATGAAATGCTGCCCTTATAACTTGCAAGGATGAAATGTGGATACCCAAGCTATAGGCTTCTGTAGCCATGTGCAAATGCCAGTATAGCGGCAAAATGATTTATGATTTCTAGAGTTTTCATTATATGCCCAGACTTTTCAATGTATTTTTTTAACAATTTGTATCGTGTTAAATATTAGCCACTATCGGTAGCCACCGTCAGTTATACCCACATACATTTATAACTTTCACTTCCTTACATTTTGCTTCATTCCATTACATCGTTAGTTTACCTTTCTTTCCTCTGTCACGTTTGTGTGGTTGTTCCTGAGGGTCACTAGCAATAGTGGATCATATTAGGCTAACGTATTATAAGTTGTGCAATAACTTGGGACATTTAGCTATTTGAATTGTTATGGAACACAGACCATATCAGTTTAAACCTGGAGAATGGCGCACGGTTCACGACGACTGGACTGTTTTCGTCAAAGTTCCATGATTAGTGAGGATTATTAGGGTAGATTTATAGGACTACTGTTCAACCTCTATTGTACACTTTTCTCATCTTCCAATATTTCATGGATTGAACAATTAAATATATGGCAATTTTAAGGATGAATCAAAACACTGAATTTTTTATTCGCCAATATATTTAGTGCGTAAAGGCTCTCCAAATGTTATTTTAGTATTCATAAATACTTTCCTTACCCTAAATTGGTGCTGAAAATGAGATGAATGCATTTAGGCCTTCATGGCTTTCTTTCATTGATCCCTAATATACTGAACCATTCTCTCCACATATTCTAGTGAGTCTGTCGAGAAAATTCGAATGAAAAGGTACACCAAATTTAAAAGGATGGCTTTAGATAAATGTACAGTTGAATTATATTTATTCAGCATGTGCAAGGGAACCACGCCTGCAAAGCCCTTCATAAGGTAAGTCTGAAAAGCGTGCGTAAGAAAGGCGTACATTTCCTATGTCGGAATCAGCCCCTAGGAGGATAAACTAAAGGAAGGTTACACACAGTCTGTAGGTATCCCCTGTCCTGATATACTAGTCTCTGTGGGAATGTGTGTGTCATATAAAGGAAGTTAGTTTGATATAAGCCTGTAAATCAGAGCACTGTTAGTAGATAAATCACAGTGGGTATGGTTGGGCCATGAGCAGGGGCAGACTGACTGGTCCATTTTCAGCACATTGGGCCTGTCTAACTTGGGTTTTTTGGGCAAAATGATCATTATCTGGATAATAATGGAGGCCTCAATTAATAAAATGGGCCATTGTGTTTTAAATGCCAGAGCCAATTTATGGTCCCAGTCTGCCCCTGGCCATGAGTGTGAGTTGATTGTTTAGATAAGTCTGTGATTGGATGCACAGTTGGTTATGTTTGTGTGTGTGTTTGTCTTTGTCTTAATTTTGCATCATTTCCACTGGGAAATCTACCTCCCACAATGCACTGGGAGCAAGGGAAAATGAGGTAGCAGCAGAGAGAGAAGATGAAACACCACAGAGGAAGAATCTCTCTCGCTCTGTCTCTCCTTTTCCTCACTGTCTTTCTCTCCCGCTCTAACTGCCACATTCATCAGTATTGGTTTCAGTTGTACAGCCTTTTTATTGATGCATACAAACCAATGACTGTAAGAAACACACAAACAGCGCACACTCAAAGACACACACACATACATACACTATCCAGAAACACACACAGCAACAGGACGTGTTGAGAGAGGTGATATGTGTGTATTGATAAACCACCACTCACCTCTAACAGTAACAAAGACTGACAAATACCATGAAACAGGAGTGTGTGTCTCACAGGCAGGCAGGTGGGACACAATCTAAAGGCATTCATTCTCTCAGATGATATCTGCTCCCTGGGGAAGTAACCCACAGCGTTGGGGAGAATTTCACAAAATAACTTTTGCTTGATTTCGCAATAACTGAAAATATCAGTTTCAGGCTGTGATTTACATTGAAAAAAAAACATTTTTAGTCATTTAGCAGACGCTCTTATCCAGAGCGACTTACAGTTAGTGAGTGCATACATTTTCATACTGGCCCCCCGTGGGAAACGAACCCACAACCCTGGCGTTGCAAGCGCCATGCTCTACCAACTGAGCTACAGGGGACAACCATGCTGGCTAGTTCCTTGGTCCTGGACCATCCACTCAGGCAGGGATCAGGATATGTTTCACAGACACAGGATGCTCCTGGATGCTACTGACAAAATCACACACACACAATGATAACTAGTACAGACACACACACTGATGACACTTGTTTATGATAAAATAAAGTTTTCCCATGGAGGGAAGGTTCTTTCTGTTCTGGAAGTTCTGATCTGTGTACCAACAGTCATAAGGTTGCTATACATTTTCAAGAGGTCAATTTGAACACTCATAGCAGTGCTACATACACTCACAACAGCATTATAAACACTCCTAACACAGTTTGTGTGTGTGTGTGGGTTCACAGTAACAGAGGGAGAAAGTTGGTTAATTTCCATCAACCCTTTAATCTGAAGAGTATGCAACAGGCCTTACCGCTTCACTAACCAATCACAGTCCAGCCTTGGTCATCAGTCTTTAACCAATCACAGTCTGGCGGTGAGGAGATTGTGAAAACAAAGATAACGCCAGGATGACAGATGAAGTGTTGGGTCTCAGCCATACAGTGTTGGGGTCAGGGTCATGGAGTAAGAGCTCAGGGGTTAGAGGTCATGGTTGGTGCTGATCCTGCAAACCCACTAGTCTACAGCTGCAGTCCCAGAGGCCGAGCTGGAGCTGGGGGTTGTAGGTCTTTGTTGAGGTCATATCTGTGCGTCCATTGCTCCAGTAGCCTCCTCTCCCCCACTCCAGAGATGGAGACAGAGCAGTGTAGAGGACCATGGACGCTCCCTGGGACAGGCTCTGGGGATACAAAAAAAACACTGTTCGAATGTTACACACAGAGAGGCTGTTATACAAACACACACAACCAGCAGAGCTTCACTGGCATAAATATACAGCTAGATACAGTGGCTTGCGAAAGTATTCACCCCCCTTGGCATTTTTTCCTATTTTGTTGTCTTACAACCTGTAAATAAAATGGATTTTTTGGGGGTTTGTATCATTTGATTTACACAACATGCCTACCACTTTGAAGATGCAAAATATTTTTTCTTGTGAAACAAACAAGAAATAAGACCAAAAAACTGAAAACTTGAGCGTGCATAACTATTCACCCCCCCCCCCCCCCCCCCCCCCCCCCCTATTGCCTATTGCAGCAATTACAGCTACAAGTCTCTTGGGGTATGTCTCTATAAGCTTGGCATATCTAGCCACTGGGATTTTTGCCCATTCTTCAAGGCAAAACTACTCCAGCTCCTTCAAGTTGGATGGGTTCCGCTGGTGTACAGCAATCTTTAAGTCAAACCACAGATTCTCAATTGGATTGAGGTCTGGGCTTTGACTAGGTCATTCCAAAACATTTAAATGTTTCCCCTTAAACCACTCAAGTGTTGCTTTAGCGCTATGCTTAGGGTCATTGTCCTGCTGGAAGGGGAACCTCTGTCCCAGTCTCAAATCTCTGGAAGACTGAAACAGGTTTCCCTCAAGAATTTCCCTGTATTTAGCGCCATCCATAATTTCTTCAATTCTGACCAGTTTCCCAGTCCCTGCTGATGAAAAACATGGTGTTCTCGGGGTGATGAGAGGTGTTGGGTTTGCGCCAGACATGGCGTTTTCCTTGATGGCCAAAAAGCTCAATTTTAGTCTCATCTGACCAGAGTACCTTCTTCCATACAGTGGGGAAAAAAAGTATTTAGTCAGCCACCAATTGTGCAAGTTCTCCCACTTAAAAAGATGAGAGAGGCCTGTAATTTTCATCATAGGTACACGTCAACTATGACAGACAAATTGAGAATGTTTTTCTCCAGAAAATCACATTGTAGGATTTTTAATGAATTTATTTGCAAATTATGGTGGAAAATAAGTATTTGGTCACCTACAAACAAGCAAGATTTCTGACTCTCACAGACGTGTAACTTCTTCTTTAAGAGGCTCCTCTGTCCTCCACTCGTTACCTGTATTAATGGCACATGTTTGAACTTGTTATCAGTATAAAAGACACCTGTCCACAACCTCAAACAGTCACACTCCAAACTCCACTATGGCCAAGACCAAAGAGCTGTCAAAGGACACCAGAAACAAAATTGTAGACCTGCACCAGGCTGGGAAGACTGAATCTGCAATAGGTAAGCAGCTTGGTTTGAAGAAATCAACTGTGGGAGCAATTATTAGGAAATGGAAGACATACAAGACCACTGATAATCTCCCTCGATCTGGGGCTCCACGCAAGATCTCACCCCGTGGGGTCAAAATGATCACAAGAACGGTGAGCAAAAATCCCAGAACCACACGGGGGGACCTAGTGAATGACCTGCAGAGAGCTGGGACCAAAGTAACAAAGCCTACCATCAGTAACACACTACGCCGCCAGGGACTCAAATCCTGCAGTGCCAGACGTGTCCCCCTGCTTAAGCCAGTACATGTCCAGGCCCGTCTGAAGTTTGCTAGAGTGCATTTGGATGATCCAGAAGAGGATTGGGAGAATGTCATATGGTCAGATGAAACCAAAATAGAACTTTTTGGTAAAAACTCAACTCGTCGTGTTTGGAGGACAAAGAATGCTGAGTTGCATCCAAAGAACACCATACCTACTGTGAAGCATGGGGGTGGAAACATCATGCTTTGGGGCTGTTTTTCTGCAAAGGGACCAGGACGACTGATCCGTGTAAAGGAAATAATGAATGGGGCCATGTATCGTGAGATTTTGAGTGAAAACCTCCTTCCATCAGCAAGGGCATTGAAGATGAAACGTGGCTGGGTCTTTCAGCATGACAATGATCCCAAACACACCGCCCGGGCAACGAAGGAGTGGCTTCGTAAGAAGCATTTCAAGGTCCTGGAGTGGCCTAGCCAGTCTCCAGATCTCAACCCCATAGAAAATCTTTGGAGGGAGTTGAAAGTCTGTGTTGCCCAGCGACAGCCCCAAAACATCACTGCTCTAGAGGAGATCTGCATGGAGGAATGGGCCAAAATACCAGCAACAGTGTGTGAAAAACTTTTGAAGACTTACAGAAAACGTTTGACCTGTGTCATTGCCAACAAAGGGTATATAACAAAGTATTGAGAAACTTTTGTTATTGACCAAATACTTATTTTCCACCATAATTTGCAAATAAATTAATAAAAAATCCTACAATGTGATTTTCTGGATTTTTTTTTCTCATTATGTCTGTTGACGTGTACCTATGATGAACATTACAGGCCTCTCTCATCTTTTTAAGTGGGAGAACTTGCACAATTGGTGGCTGACTAAATACTTTTTTTCCCCACTGTATGTTTGGGGAGTCTCCCACATGGCTTTTGGCGAACACCAAACGTGTTTGCTCATTTTTTCTTTAAGCAATGGCTTTTTTCTGGCCACTCTTCCATAAAGCCCAGCTCTGTGGAGTGTACGGCTTAGTGGTCCTATGGACAGATACTCCAATCTCCGCTGTGGAGCTTTGCAGCTCCTTCAGGGTTATCTTTGGTCTCTTTGTTGCCTCTGATTAATGCCCTCCTTTCCTAGTCCATGAGTTTTGGTGGGCGGCCCTCTCTTGGCAGGTTTGTTGTGGTGCCATATTCTTTCAATTTTTTAATAATGGATTTAATGGTGCTCCGTGGGATGTTCAAATTTTCAGATTTTTTTTATAACCCAACCCTGATCTTTACTTCTCCACAACTTTGTCCCTGACCTGTTTGGTGAGCTCCTTGGTCTTCATGGTGCCACTTGCTTGGTGGTGCCCCTTGCTTAGTGGTGTTGCAGACTCTGGGGCCTTTCGGAACAGGTGTATAAATACTGAGATCATGTGACAGATCATGTAACACTTAGATTGCACACAGGTGGACTTTATTTAACTAATTATGTGACTTCTGAAGGTAATTGGTTTCACCAGATCTTATTTATGGCTTCATAGCAAAGGGGGTGAATACATATGCATGCAGCACTTTTATAATTATTTTAAACAAGTAATTTTTTTCATTTCACTTCACCAATTTTGACTATTTTGTGTATGTCCATTACATGAAATCCAAATAAAAATCCATTAAAATGACAGGTTGTAATGCAACAAAATAGGAAAAATGCCAAGGGGGATGAATACTTTTGCAAGGCACTGTATGCAGACTCACACCAAAAGCCTACAGTTTTTCTACAACAACGTGACTTTTTAACCTATTTCTACATGAGACTGAGTGCAGACTGGTAAACAGTGTGTGTGTGTGTGTGTGTGTGTGTGTGTGTCAATGTGATAGCGTTGAGGAGGTTGTGATTAATTTTGCATTTGTAGTTGCAGGGCAGAGGCTTCCCAAAGGTCATTTACTGAGGCAACTGCCTATAGTGATTTCACTATAGCGACGTGCCGACCATACCAGGGTCCACTGAACATGAGCTCACTGGGAACCCTCTTCTATTCAGCCTCTGTTGCAGGTGGGACGAAAATAACAGCAGTGCCAGCTTACTCTGGCAGTATGCAGCATGGGACGAATAACAATGTCTAAAGAGAGAAAGCAACGGGAGAGAAAGATGTTGAGAAAAGTGGGAGTGGGGAGATATAAGGAGAGGTGTGTTGTGTTTATGTGTGTTTTTATGTGTGTGTGTGTGTGTGTGAATGTGAGTGTCATTCACCATTGTTGACTAGGATGTGCAGCAGTAGGCCCCGCCTCTTGAAGGTCTGGATGAATTGCCTGACCGACTGCAAAGACACCAGATCCAACTGCTCAAACTCCACTGAGGACACAAAACACACACGGCAGTCACTTAAATACACTGCACAGTACATACACGTTTATTTATTTATTAGAAATGTTGCAGGATGAAATCTCTTGAGATGCACCATCTCATTTTTAACAGTATATTCAAGAGTACAGTGCTATGAAAAAGTAGCAGAGCAGAATTCATGGTTCCTTCTATTAAGGCAAGTCGTCCAGGTCCTGAGGCAGCAAAGCATCCCCAAACCATCACACCACCACCACCATGCTTGACCTTTGGTATGATGTTCTTACTGTAGGAATGCAGTGTTTGGTTTTCGCCAGGCATTACTGGAACCATGTCGTCCAAAAAGTTATACTTTTGAATCATCTGTCCATGTGCTTTTTGGCAAACGAGGAGAGAGCAGTAGGAGTAGCAGTGTTTTCTGTGGTAATCCATGTTTCCGTCAGCGCCAAGAAGTCGAGGGACTGGAGGGTAGCATAGGCTGAGATGAACTCTGCCTTGTTGGCCGCAGAACGGCAATTCCAGAGGCTGCCGGAGACCTGGAACTCCACGTGGGTCGTGCGTGCAGGGACCACCAGGTTAGAGTGGCAGCAGCCACGCGGTGTGAGGCGTTTGTATAGCCTGTGCGGAGAGGAGAGAACAGGGATAGACAGACACATAGTTGACAGGCTACAGAAAATGGCTACAATAATGCAAAGGAGATCGGAATGAAATGAACTAAACATCTGGGAAAGCGAGAGAGCGGGGCCTCCCTCACTTACGTTTCACTGAAACACCCAAATATAACTCTCCCAACTTCCACCTCAGAAACTATAATTGTTGTAAACTACAGCGGTTCAATGTTTTCTAGGAATATACTAACTTAGTTTATTCAGCTAGCTAACTTGGTACAGTATTCTTCCGTGAAAACCGTCCAGGGCACCGAATCCTATGACGCCACAGCCAATTAGCATGCCAGCCTCCAACAACACGATTTAGCACCAATACTCGGCCACAACAAACCACCGGTGTGTCAACACGCCAAGCAGATCATTCGTGTCCGTGTCTAACGTTGTGTAAAGTTCTGGGTTAGTCCCGACAGCTTGAGCGAGTCCGTCGTCAACTTATTCAGCCAGTTAGTTAGCTAGAATAGTTAGCATACTAGCTAGCAATTGCTCTCTGCAATTTTTATTTTTATTATAATAATCCTCCCACGGCACGAACACACAGAGAGAGCCAAGCTAACGTTAACTAGTCACCCATGTCCCGAATTCCCTTGAACGACTCTGGTTAACAGTAAGTAAAAACAAAACACAACTGTAGGTTATAATTTACCCCTAGCAGCTACTGTTAGCCAGCCAAGTGCAAAGCTAGCCACTGAATCGACTCAGCCAGTTCGCGTCTGTTCGCTATTGCTATTGTTTAGTTAGCTAAAGGTCAAGCATGGTGGTGGTGGTGTGATGGTTTGGGGATGCTTTGCTGCCTCAGGACCTGGACGACTTGCCTTAATAGAAGGAACCATGAATTCTGCTCTGTATCAGAGAATTCTACAGGAGAATGTCAGACCATCCGTCTGTGAGCTGAAGCTGAAGCGCAGCTGGGTCATGCAGCAAGACACTGATCCAAAACACACAATCAAGTCTACATGAAAATTGCTAAAAAGCAACAAATTGGAAGTTTTGGAATGGCCTAGTCAAAGTCCAGACCTAATCCCAATTGAGATGTGGCAGGACTTGAAACTAGCAATTCATGCTTGAAAACCCACACGTCACTGAGTTAATGCAGTTCTGCATAGAAGAGTGGGCCAAAATTCCTCCACAGCGACGTGAGAGACTGATCAACAACTACAGGAAGCATTTGGTTGGAGTCATTGCAGCTAAAGGTGGCACAACCAGTTATTGAGTGTAAGGGGGCAATTACCTTTTCACACAGGGGAATTGGGTGTTGCATAACTTTGTTTATGAAATAAATATGTAATTGTTGTGTTATTTGTTCACTTATGTTCCCTTTATCTAATATTAGGTTTTGGTTGAAGATCTGATAACATTCAGTATCACAAATATGCAAAAGTAGAGAAAATTAGAAAGGGGGCAAATACTTTTTCATAGCACTGTCTATACATATACACACGAATAGATCATCCTTTTGGCAGATCATCTGAGCACACACATAAACATGCGCCCACACTCACCCTTACAAAAGGATGTCAAATAGCTGTTCAAATAGCTGTTCACATGTCGAGCTTAAATTTCACATGTGAAATCATTTTTCACATGTATTACATTTTGAGTTCACACGTTAACACCACCATTTCACATGTGAGGAGAATAACATGTTTTAACCTCACATGTGAATTGCAGTTTCACATATGAAAAACGTTCACATGGGAAAATCTCACTTTCACATGTGGAATTGTAAGTTCACATATGAAAATCAATCACGTGATCAAATCTAATTTGCAGGTTCATATGTGAAAAACTTTCACGTGATTGTGAAAGTGAGATTTCCACATGTAAAAGTTTTTCACATATGACACTGCAAATTAGATTTTTACATGTGATTGTTTTTCACATGTGAACTTGCAATTCCACATGTGAAAATCACATTTGCAGTGTCATATGTAAGAAAATACACATTTACTCCAATGTTTGTAAAGAAAGTAAATGTAAAAATAAAACACTGTATAGCCTAAAAACATGATTAAAACTATAATTTTGATATCATGGATGGTCAGTCCTTGCATCCATAGCGTGGTCTATAGATTTGAGAGTGGTTGCATTTCTACAGCCTCATCCCTCAGCTTTTTACAGAACTGTGGCGGGGATAACACTTTGTTACTGTTTCAATTAAGGATTGCTGCTTTAAACACCTTTAATAGAGTAATAGTGTTATTATATGGTGCAATCCTCTAGTGTGTGAGTTACTTTTGTGCCATTAATATCAAGCAAAACAACTGAAGTCGAGAACAACATTCTTAGTAATGCAAACAAAAAGAATGATATTGAAAGCAAAACATAAACCCAAAAGTATTGATAACAAAACAAAATATTGCAAGGAAATCATTTTAAAATGTGAGAGCCAATGAATTGTTAATGGTTGCCTAACATTTTTTTAAAATTATAACGCAATTATATAAAACAGCTCTTTCCTGCAATTTTCCCAATCTTTGGTTATGTTACCCTGGCCTTTAATTTCTCTGCCTTTTTACAAGTTGCAAGTTTTGGCACATTAATTCCAGCAATATAACACCCTGCATCCCATTGATGGTTTGCATCTGAAGCTAGGCAGGGTTGTGAGCGAAAAACACATGAAAAATTTACATGTGAAACTTCACACGTGTCTGATAACCACGTGTCTGACTTGTGATAATGTTTGTGTTTTTTTCATAACATTATTTTTTCATGGTTTTTGTAAGGGCGCATGTACGCACACACACACACACACACACACACACACACACACACACAGCATCATCAGCCCTCTTGTAAAATGATTATGTCTGCTAGCTGTGTCTGTAGTGGAACATCAAAGCAGCCTAAATGTATTAATCTCCTACACTGGGCTCTGCTCTAATAGAAAAGGAAAGGACACATACTGCTGCTATCTTCATACACATTACAAGATACCAATACCTCCTCCTAATATCTCGTACAGTAAGTATAGTGCAGCAGCACCAGCAGGACATGCTGTAGGACCTCAGCTCTGTCTGTGTGTGTGTGTGTGTGTGTGTGTGTGTATGTGTGTTTCAGACTGAAAAAGGGCTTTTCACACTGGATTTATTTTAACCCAGGGCTAAACTTATGCTGGGTTAAAAGCAGGGGTTGGAACCGGTTCATGGAACAGAACAGAAAAATAAGGAAATTATTTGATGAACAGAAACAGAACCGTGAACAAAAGTGATCTCTAGTGTTCCGGAACAGAACCGTTCTTTTCAAATCTTGAGAACTAGTTAATAATGTTAATTTTTTTGTTCCAAAAATATTCCTAATGTCTCGTATATAATATAGTTATAGTAGCCTATACACATATCAAGTCACATATCATGATGCTCAGCTCTTCAAGCCAAGCCCCCTCCATGTCCACCCCTTTCTCTTGCTCTCTCTCCACCCCAAAAACTGTCAGTTGCATCTTGCGCCTGCACTCATCTGTCCATAAAACCAAACGTGTAAACGACTACCTTACCCGGTCCATAGCAAGCTGATCTATCCATGCTAATTGCTGAAATAAATGAATGATCTAAATGTAAATGTTGATGATTTCACGTGGTAAAAAAGTAACGAAAAGGAAGTATATGAACAGCTCCTTTTTTTTGGTCCGAACTGGTTCAGACCTTTATTATGCTGGTTGGAACAGTGGAGTGGAACAAAATAAATAGGGGTTCTGCTCGGAACGGAACGATTGGAAAATAATTTCAGTTCCAACCCCTCGTTAAACGTGTCTGAAGGCTAGCATTAGTTAAACCAGGGTGAAACCAAAATGTACAGTGTGAAAGCCCTAAATGCCTCTGGCTGTGTGTAAAAAGTAAGTGTGTGTTGAATAATAAAAATAAATAAAAATTCCAGCCCTAACCCTGTGTGTTTATAGCTAGCTTTGCGTCTGTCTGTCTGTACCTCTGTCTGCCTGTACCTCTGTCTGCCTGTACCTGTCATCCTGTCTGTCTGAGCATATGCAGATGGTGCTGTAAACTGGCCGTGCCAGTTCTATATTGTCACGTTCGTTTACAGACGAGACGGACCAAGGCGCAGCGTGATATGCATACATGTTTATTTATATTGAATAAACACCACGACAAAACAACAAATGAAACGAAATGTGAAGTCCAAGGTAGACAAACAACATACCTCACACGGAACAAGATCCCACAACCCACTAGTGCCAATAGGCTGCCTAAGTATTGTCCCCAATCAGAGACAACGAGCGACAGCTGCCTCTGATTGGGAACCACACCGGCCAACATAGAAATAGACATACTAGATACTACACCATAGAAACAACACAACACGGAATATACACACCCTGACTCAACAAATAAACGTCCCCTGAGTCAGGGCGTGACAGTACCCCCCCCCAAAGGTGCGGACTCCGACCGCGCCACATAAACATAACAGGGTAGGGGCCGGGTGGGCATTCCGCCTCGGAGGCGGATCCGGCTCCGGGTGTGACCAACACCTATTCTCCGCCTCCCTGTTGCACCCCTGGTCAGGTCTGGACCTCGGCGCGCTGCTTCCCCTCTCCTTCCTCCCACGAAGTACCAAGCCCTGTCTGGACCCTGGTGTGGGAGACCCCGAACCTGGAGAGAGGCTGACGTCTGGGTCTGGACTGGAACCGCTGACTGGAGCTGGACCCGACGATGGTGGAGCGAACTGCTCTGGCTCCGGAGTGGAGCCGCTGACCGGAGCTGGATCAGGCACCGGTGGAGCGGACTGCTCTGGCTCCGGAGTGGAGCCGCTGACCGGAGCTGGACTGGACCCCGGTGGAGCGGATTGCTCTGGCTCCGGAGTGGAGCAGCTTACCGGAGCTGAACTGGGCACCGGTGGAGCGGACTGCTCTGGCTCCGGAGTGGATCCGCTGACCGGAGCTGGACTGGACCCCGGTGGAGCGGATTGCTCTGGCTCCGGAGTGGAGCAGCTGACCGGAGCTGAACTAGGCACCGGTGGAGCGGACTGCTCTGGCTCCGGAGTGGAGCAGCTGACCGGTGCCGGACCAGGCACCGGTGGAACAGGCTCGGGCCGTGCCGGACTGGACACACGCACCACTGGCTTGGTGCGGGGAGCAGGAACGGGCCGGACCGGGCTGACGACGTGCACCACTGGCTTGGTGCAGGGAGCAGGAACGGGCCATACCGGACTGGCGACGCGCACCACTGGCTTGGTGCGAGGGGCAGGAACAGGCCGGGCCGGGCTGGCGACGCGCACCACTGGCTTGGTGCGAGGGGCAGGAACAGGCCGGGCCGGGCTGGGAACACGCACCACTGGTTTGGTGCGAGGAGCAGGAACGGGCCGGACCGGACTGCAAAGGCGGACTGGAGGTCTGGAGCGGAGAGCTGGCACAACCCGCCCTGGCTGGCTGCCCACTTTCGCACTACACATGCAGGGCGCTGGCACAAGATGCACTGGGCTGTGCACGCGCACTGGCGATACAGCTCGTAGAACAGGCGCAGGATATGCGGGACCGAGGAGGCGTACTGGAGACCAGGAGCGTTGAGCCGGTACACCCCGTCCTGGCTGAATGCCCATCTTCACACGACACATGCGTGGTGCTAGCACCGGAACACTGGCAACACAGTACGTAGCTCCGCATAACACGGAGCCTGCCCAGTCACACTCCTCCTCGCGTGAGTACGGGGAGTTGGCTCTGCTCTACCTCTAGGCTCCGCCAACCACCCTTTTAGCCCCCCCAAAAAAAATTTATTGGGGCTGTCTCTCGGGCTTCTTCCTCGGCCGGCGCCTTCCGCGTTGCCGCTGCTCCTCTCTATAACCGCGCCTCCACTGTCTCCTCCCAAGGACGGCGATCCATCCCGGCCTGAATCTCCTCCCAAGTCCAGGATCTCCTCCCAGGTCCAGGCTGTCTGCTCCTGGACACGCTGCTTGGTCCTCGTTTGGTGGGATCTTCTGTCACGTTCGTTTACAGACGAGACGGACCAAGGCGCAGTGTGATATGCATACATGTTTATTTATATTGAATAAACACCACGACAAAACAACAAATTAAACGAAACGTGAGGTCCAAGGTAGACAAACAACATACCTCACACGGAACAAGATCCCACAACCCACTAGTGCCAATAGGCTGCCTAAGTATGGTCCCCAATCAGAGACAACGAGCGACAGCTGCCTCTGATTGGGAACCACACCGGCCAACATAGAAATAGACATACTAGATACTACACCATAGAAACAACACAACACGGAATATACACACCCTGACTCAACAAATATACGTCCCCTGAGTCAGGGCGTTACATATATTTTGAACAAGGAGAATATGTGGCGTGTTTTGATTGGCTCTAGCAAAACATGTGCTCTGCTACTTTCCTCTCAACAATGGGGTATTTAGGGTGCACTCTACTCCTTCCCTCCTCCTCTTTCCACCCCTCCATCCCTCTCTTCTACTCCACCTGTTCTACCTGTAATAATAACAAAGGATCTGTGCTCCATGCCAGAGAGATAAGCACATTTTACACCTATAAGCTTTTCATTTTGCTAATGTAACCAGGGCTACTCCACTCTGACCCAATACACCACTGCTACTGTCTATCAAATAGTCTAGCTATTGCAGTAATACATTTAATATAGTGCCCAGTAGATGGGAAACTCAGAGCTTAACGCTAATGCAAAAAATGCTATTAGGTGGATAAACACTTCACTATTCAGTGGTGTGTTTACTTAGGTTTATCCTCCATTACATCACTGGTTAACACACTGTTCTGTCTCCTCTCCTTTCTCCTCTGCTCTCTGCTTACCCATCTCCACTCCTCTCCTCCGTACACACACACCAGGAGCTAGAAGACATTTGGTGAGAAGCTCTTGCCTCACATACTAATAAACCTTCCGTCATATTGTCACTCAGACACAAGCACACACGCGAACGCACACGCATGCAACTGCATACACGCCTCCCTACCACCACCTCATCGGCACATTGTCATTCAGAGGACAGAGCTAGATGCTCCTCACCTCCCCCCACTTCCAACTCACCCCCGTCATTCAGAGCACTGTCACGATGCCGCCGCCCCCCCCCCCCCTCCCCCCCAATTACCCAACACCCCTTAATGCCTGCCTCTTAGTCTTAACGAACAGAAATCGATCCTACAACAGTCCCAGCCTGGAAATCTACTTCAATGACGCCCTCTCTACCTCTAACTGACGTGACGCACTAGAGCAGAGGTTCAATCTGTCTTTTAACTAGGGACTGATTTCTACCTGGGAAAAGGTGTGTTCACTCTCCAGCCAATCAGTAATATCCAGAGCCAAGGAGACACAAAACCAAACAGGGCTGTGTGGACTGTGTATGTTACCTTTGGCCTCTCTGTTCTCCTCACAAATCCTCTTCACAGCAGACACACCCTCCCACTCATGCTGTCCAGCTAGAGAGAGAGAAGAGAGAAGAGGGGAGGGAAGAGAGGATACTGATGTATTTAATCTCCTAAGTAAAAACACTCAGACAGAGAGAGAGCGAGAGAGCGAGAAAGAGAGAGAAGAGCGCGAGAGAGAGATACACATGCACAAACACACCTGAACTATGTTAGGTATAACACATTCACATTGGTAGGCCTATAGAGTACAGTATGGTGTGTTACTGTAGGCCTACCTATGATAATGTGTGCCCCCAGGCTGGCCATGTGTCTTGTGGTCTCAAAGCAGATTCCCCTGGTGTCTTCCGTCACTATAGCAACTATGCCATGTTGTCTGGGCAGCTCTGGAGAAAGGAAATAAATGAAAGTTATTTTATGAATGGAGTAATAAACATGTTGCAAATCTTAGGGTGTTTTCACATATAGTCCTCTTTAAAATAACCGATCTCAGTCCTCTCTAAAGAGAACTCTGGGGTAAAAAAAGCAAAATAACTCAGTTCTCTTTGTATTCACACTGCCCTTGCCTTTGAACTTTTACCAGTTCACTTCACCTATTTTGTGGTCCGAGTCCTCTTTGCAATCACATTGCTATGTTTAGAAAGGAACCAAGATCTTTTTCCAAAATTCACTCAATTTACTCTGGGTGTCACGTTGTATAATGATTAGAAGACAGGCGCAGGAATACGTATTAGGGTTTTTATTACTCCACCCAACACAAACATGTATATATATACAAAAGGGATGTAACCCAAACAAAGAGCGACGTGTAACCTCTACACAATACACTGGACGAGACTCGTAAACAACCAGAGCACAATACACGGTACTCACGAGACCAACGGACATGGAACAATAATCGACAAGGGCAATGGGGAACAGAGGGCACATATATACACATACTAATCAGGGGGAATGGGAACCAGGTGTGCATAATGAGACAAGACAGTCGGGGTTGGTGGTAATTATCCATGTCAGTGACGCCTAGAAAGCCGGTGACGTAGACCTCCGGAACTGGTGAATGGAATGAGCAGCAGTACCGGGGGGATCCGTGACACTGGGTTTGTACAATGTGCAGGACAAGCCATTCCATCAGAACGTGTTATCGGACAGTTAGATACCTACTTACATTTTGGAAGTTAATAGATTGCATTTAGTTAAAATACATAATAATTGTAATCTGAAGATACTATTAACATGTAAATATTATTGGTAACAGAATAAATAGCAGAAGAATAACTGCAGACTAAATAATGCTGTAATTGAAAATTGTACACCATATCTAGGCTCCTGCTCCTAGAATAGAATTGAGCTAGAATTGAGTTTGTACCATATGTTGTGATTCTCACAAAATATGTTGTCTTCTTACACTATTCAAACCCCACAATCAAATAAACAGCTTATGAAGCTCTCTTAGCCGATAGATCACATATTGAAAACAAACAATCTGAACTGAAAACTCCACACATATTTTTGAATTTATGTGCATCCTTGACAATTGCTAATCAATATCCAAAAAACAGCACATGATCATCTTCTCTCATTTGTGGCACCAATTTGAAGGGTTATGGCAGGGGAAACGGTGTTGCACTAGTCTAGTGTGTGGTGCGGGAATAATGACAAGATAAACTGGGGAGCTTTGTGTTCCCGTTGCCCTAAAAAAGAGAACCAGACAACGGAATTCAAGCGAACCGAACTCAGACCACCTCTCGAGATGGTCTCAGTTCGGTTCGCTTAGGGGGCTCTTTTGAGGGGTCACATGCACAAAAAATTAAGCGACCCGCACAGAGTTCACAGAGATTGGGTGAAAGGGACCAAGTGTTGAAACACCCCTACCCTATTCCCTATAGTGTACTTCTTTAGGCCATTATGATGTTTGTATGGCATGTTTACATGTTTATGACATGTAGGTGGGTGTAGTTTCTTATTTTCCAGCACTTAAGTCTGTTTTTGTGATGTATTTGTGATGAGATTTTATTAGGATCCCCATTAGCTGACACCAATGGTGACAGCTAGTCTTACTGGGCTCCGACACATAACGAAAAATACATTACAGACAAAAAGACTGTAGTTTATAACATGATTGACATCTTGCTGTCCCTCCCCCTCAGCTCATACCTGTGAGCTGTGTGTGTGTTTGTGTGTGTGTGTGTGTGTGCGTGTGCGTGCAAACAAAGGCAGACTCCATCTAACTTTGGCTTGTAGTCCATGTCTGCAATAAACTGGAATGTGAACTGAATGTTTGTTTAATGTCTCTGACTGTCCATTACATTATTTTTTTTAATTATAAATTTACATTCACACAAAGTATTTCAGATGTATAGGTCTTCGGATGGCCCTACCAGACCTTGTGTGGGGAGTGTTGATTACATCAGGAGGTGCTTGACCTGAGATGTTTGGATCTTCTTGTTGAGGTGCAGCGTCCACCTCTAGGTTGTGTTCCACACCCTGCTGGGTGTCAGCTGGTGCTCTGTTTACTGGCTCTGTGCCAGGCTCCTCAACAGTGGGGAAATCCTCCTCTATTTCTCTGCTCTTCCTCAGGTTTCGCCTGTTCCTACTGAAGACTTGTCCCTGTTCTGTCTTCACCTCATAGGACCTTTGCTTTAGAAGGCCTGACTACTGTGGCCCTCTGCCACAACTGTTTCTGTCCTGTGAGTGGCTGAACACCCTGTCATCTTGTTGCAGCACTGTTAGATCCTTAGCAGAGGTGTCGTAGTACTTTGCCTGTCTCTGCTGTCTTTCTTTGAACTTCTCCTGCTGATAGTTTGTCATCACCGGTCTCAGCAGATTTTCATTCTTTAGCAGTAGTGTCTTTGTACGTCTTCCCATGAGCGCCATTGCAGGGCTGCTGTCTATTCCTTGTGACGGGGTATTTCTGTGATCCAGCTTGGCCAGGTATGGGTCAGCACCTGCTCTCTTCGCTTTTGCCATTAGTCTTTTGACTGTTTTCACTGCCGATTCCACTTTCTCATTACTTTGCGGGTATCCTGGAGACTTTTTTGTGTTTAAAGTTCCAAGCCTTGCTGAAACTTCGGAACTCATCTGAAGAGTACTGGGGGCCATTGTCTGAGTAAAGGATGTCAGGTATCCCATAGCGTGCAAAGTGTGTCTTCAGTTTTCAAATTACCATTTAGACTGTGTGTTCTCCAAATGGTCAATTTCCCAGAAATGTGAGAGATTATCAACTGTGACCATGTAGTATCTGTTGTTGAACTGGAACAGGTCAGTCCCTATTTTTTTGCCAGGGACGCTTTGGTGCTTTGTGTGGCCTCAGTGTGTCTTTCTGCTGCTTCACACCCCATGCAGTGCAGGTGCTACATTGTTCCATGTATGTTCTCAGCTGTGAATTCATGCCCAGCCAGTAGACACACTGGTGAGCTCTTCTCAGACATCCCTCGATTTCTATGTGTGAGGAATGGATTCTCTGCATTGTCTCTGACCTGAGGGCAGCAGGCACAACGACTTGCTCACCTCTGAAGATAATTTAATTTTTCACACTCAGCTCATCTCTGTTGTGAAAATACATGGCTTCTTCCAAGGGTACAATTTCTTTCACTTCAGGCCACCCCTGCAGGATCCATGTTTTCAGTGTCTGGAGCTCCCGGTCCAGATCAGTGGCTTTCTGGATGGTCTTTAGTCTCTCGCTTGACACAGGCAGATAGTGTATCATGTTGATTGATTCCACTTCGACCTCCACAGGTCGCTCAGGGTGTCGGCCAGCATCACGTCTTCCAGGAACGTATCAGAGACTGACCTTGTAGTTTTGAAGTCTCATGATCATGCGTTGTAGTCTTTTGGTGCGCTGAGGAGAGGCTTTGTGATGATGCTCTCTAGAGGCTTGTGATCCGACTGCACTTCGACAGTTCGTCCATATGTGAATTGGTGGAACCTTTCCATGCCAAACACCACTGCAAGCAGCTCCTTCTCTAGCTATGCATACCCTTTTGCAGTCTGTGTCAGGGCTCTGCTGGCGTATGCTACTGGTTGTCCTCCCTGCATCAAGGCTGCTCCTAACCCACTTTCTGAAGCATCACATTGTAGTACAAGCTGCTCTGTTGGGTTGTAGTATTTCTGTCACACGACGTGTATGCGGTTAGCGAAGTCAAAAGCAGGACACAGAGCGGCTGGCAACGTATTTTACTGAACACAGTAAAATCAACGTACAAAACAACAAACCTCCAAACAGGGAGGAAAAGACCCGTACATACAAGAACTGCCGGAATGACAACAAACAATAACACACAAAATAACTAATGAGAGACAGAGGTTAATATAGGGAATACAATCCAACATAATGGGAAACAGGTGTAAACAATAAAGACCAAACAAGACAAACACCGAAACATAGATCGGCAGCAGCTAGTACTCCGGGGACGACGAATGCCGAAGCCTGCCCGAGCAAGGAGGAGGAGCAGCCTCGGCTGAATCCGTGACAGTACCCCCCCCCCCCCCCCCCCCCCCCCTTGACGCGCGGCCCCAGCCGTGCACCGACCCCGGCCTCGGGGACAGCCAGGAGGACGCGGAGCAGGGCGAGTCGGATGACTCCGGTGGAAATCCCTCAACAGGGAGGGATCTAGGATGTCCCTCCTAGGGACCCAGCACCGTTCCTCTGGACCGTATCCCTCCCACTCCACGCGATACTGCAGACCCCCCATCCGACGCCTCGAATCCACGATGGAACGGACTGAGTACGCCGGAGCCCCCTCGATGTCTAGTGGGGGCGGAGGAGCCTCTCGTATCTCATTCTCCTGGAGTGGACCAGCTACCACCGGCCTGAGGAGAGACACATGGAACGAGGGGTTAATGTGGTAATTAATGGGCAGTTGTAACCTATAACATACCTCGTTCAATCTCCTCAGGACTTTAAATGGCCCCACAAACCGCCGACCCAGCTTCCGGCAGGGCAGGCGAAGGGGCAGGTTTCGGGTCGAGAGCCAAACCCGATCTCCCGGTGCATAAACCGGAGCCTCACTGCGGTGGCGATCGGCGCTTGCATTTTGCCGTCTGATAGCCCGCTGCAGATGGACATGCACAGCGTTCCATGTTTCCTCCGAGCGCCGAAACCACTCATCCATTGCAGGGGCTTCGATCTGGCTCTGATGCCAGGGTGCCAGGACCGGCTGATAACCCAGCACACACTGAAAAGGTGTAAGATTAGGGGAGGAGTGGCAGAGTGAGTTTTGGGCTATCTCTGCCCAGGGGATATACCCCGACCACTCCTCCTGCCGGTCCTGGCAATAGGACCTCAGAAACCTACCCACATCCTGGTTTACTCTCTCCACCTGCCCATTACTCTCAGGGTGAAAACCCGAGGTAAGGCTAATCGAGACCCCCAAATGTTCCATAAACGCCCTCCAGACTCTAGAGGTGAACTGGGGACCCCGATCAGACAATATATCCTCAGGCACCCCGTAGTGCCGGAAGACGTGAGTAAACAGGGTGTTGGCTGTTTGTAGGGCTGTAGGAAGACCTGGCATAGGAATGAGACGGCAGGCCTTAGAAAACTGATCCACAACGACGAAGATCGTGGTATTCCCCTGGGAGGGGGGAAGGTCCGTGACAAAATCCACCGATAGGTGAGACCACGGCCGTTGTGGAACGGGTAGAGGTTGTAACTTCCCTCTGGGCAGGTGTCTAGGCGCCTTACACTGGGCGCACACCGAGCAGGAAGAAACGTAAACCCTCACGTCCCTAGCTAAGGTGGGCCACCAGTACTTCCCGCTAAGGCAGTGCACTGTCCGACCAATACCAGCATGACCAGAGGAGGGTGACGTGTGAGCCCAATATATCAGTCGATCACGGACCTCGAGCGGCACGTATCTCCGTCCCTCTGGACACTCTGGGGGAGTAGGGTCGGTACGTAACGCCCGCTCGATTTCCGCATCGACCTCCCACACCACCGATGCCACCAGACAAGACTCCGGAAGTATGGGAGTGGGCTCAATGGACCTCTCCTCTGTGTCATATCGTCGGGACAGGGCGTCTGCCTTAGCGTTCTGTGACCCTGGTCTATAAGTGAGCTTAAATACAAACCGGGTAAGAAACATGGCCCACCTAGCCTGACGAGGGTTCAGTCTCCTCGCTGCCCGGATGTACTCCAGGTTACGATGGTCAGTCAGAATGAGAAAAGGGTGTTTAGCCTCCTCAAGCCAATGCCTCCACACCTTCAGGGCTTGGACCACCGCTAGCAGCTCCCTGTCCCCCACGTCATAATTGCGTTCCGCCGGACTGAGATTCTTGGAATAGAAAGCACAGGGGTGGAGTTTTGGAGGCGTGCCCGAGCGCTGAGACAGTATAGCACCGATCCCCGCCTCGGACGCATCCACCTCAACTTGGAACGCCAAAGAGGGATCCGGATGTGCCAGCACCGGAGCCGAGGTGAACAGGTCCTTCAGATGTCTAAACGCCCTGTCCGCCTCAGCCGACCACTGCAAACGCACCGGGCCCCCCCCTTAGCAGGGAGGTGATGGGAGCTGCTACCTGTCCAAAACCCCGGATAAACCTCCGGTAGTAATTGGCAAAACCCAAAAACCGCTGCACCTCCTTCACCGTGGTGGGAGTCTGCCAATTACGCACGGCTGAAACGCGGTCAATCTCCATCTCCAACCCTGACGCGGACAACCGATGTCCCAGGAAGGAGATGGACTCCTGGAAGAACAGACATTTCTCCGCCTTCACATACAGGTCATTCTCCAACAGTCTACCCAGCACCCGACGCACCAGGGACACATGCTCGGCTCGTGTAGCGGAGTATATTAGAATGTCATCAATATACACCACTACACCCTGTCCATGCAAATCCCGGAAAATCTCGTCCACAAATGATTGGAAGACTGAAGGAGCATTCATTAAACCGTATGGCATGACGAGGTACTCATAGTGACCCGAGGTGGTACTGAATGCTGTCTTCCACTCATCTCCCTCCCTAATGCGCACCAGGTTGTACGCGCTCCTGAGATCCAATTTTGTGAAGAATCGCGCCCCGTGTAATGACTCCGTCATACTAGCAATCAGAGGGAGAGGATAGCTGTATTTGATTGTAATCTGATTGAGACCACGGTAATCAATACACGGGCGTAAACCCCCATCCTTCTTCTTCACAAAAAAGAAACTTGAGGACGCAGGGGAAGTGGACGGCCGTATGTATCCCTGTCTCAGAGATTCGGTGACGTATGTCTCCATAGCTGCCGTCTCCTCCTGAGACAGAGGATACACATGACTACGAGGAAGCGCAGCGCCTATCTGGAGGTCTATCGCACAATCCCCCTGTCGATGAGGTGGTAATTGAGTCGCCTTCTTTTTACAGAAGGCGAGTGCCAAATCGGCATACTCAGGAGGAATGTGCATGGTGGGAATTTGATTCGGACTTTCCACCGTCGTTGCCCCTACGGAAACACCTACACACCGCCCGACACACTGATCAGACCATCCCTTGAGAGCCCTCTGTTGCCATGAAATGTTGGGGTCATGAGATGTTAACCAGGGAAGTCCCAACACCACGGGAAACGCAGGAGAGTCAATCAAATCTCTCCTCATGGCCCTCCTGCGTCTTCATCTTAAGTGGCGCTGTGACCTCCCTAATCAATCCCGACCCCAAATGGCGGCTATCTAGGGCATGGATGGGGAAGGGCACATCAACTGGTACAATAGGAATCCCTAACTTATACGTGAACCGGCGATCGATAAAATTCCCAGGTGCGCCTGAATCTACTAGCGCCTTATGCTGGGAGTGAGAAGAAACCTAGGGAAACACAACTTTAATACACATATGTACAACAGAGAGCTCTGGGTGAGTTGGGTGCTTACTCCCCTGGAATGACTCATCAGTGCGCTGCCTACTGCCTCGATTCCTAGGAGACCCTCCCCAGCACCGAACCGCAGTGTGTCCTCTGCGGCCACAGTTGGTGCAGGGGACGGCCTCTCTCCTGGTCTCTCTCCTCGTCTCCCTAGCACCAGCACCCCCGAGCTCCATAGGGCTCGGCTCGGAAGTGCTGGAGGATGGAATGGACGGCCCCGACTCCGGACGCCGCGGGTAGCCAACAGGGTATCTAGGCGAATCGACATGTCCACCAGCTGATCGAAGCTTAGTTTGGTGTCCCTGCAGGCCAACTCCCGACGAACGTCCTCCCTCAGGCTGTACCTGTAGTGGTCGATGAGGGGCCTCTCATTCCATCCCGCATTGGCAGCCAGAGTCCGGAAGTCCAGTGCGAACTCCTGCGCGCTCCTCTTCCCCTGTCTGAGGTGGAACAGACGCTCACCCGCCACCTTCCCCTCTGGGGGATGATCGAACACCGCCCTGAAGCGGCGGGTGAACTCTGCATAGTTGACTGTAGCGGCGTCTATTCCCCCCCACTCGGCGTTTGCCCACTCCAGTGCCTTGCCGGACAGACAGGAGATGAGGGCAGACACGCTCTCGTATCCCGAGGGCACCGGGTGGATGGTTGCCAGGTAGAGTTCCACTTGGAGCAGGAAACCCTGACACCCGGCAGCGGTGCCATCATAAGCCCTCGGGAGCGAGAGCCGAATACCACTGGACTCCGGAGGTGAAACGATGGGTATAGCTGATGGTGGTGGTATTGTCGGAGGAGGTGTGGACAAACCTCCTCTTTCCCATCGCCCCAAGGTGTTCATCACCCCTTCCATGGCGGTGCCGAGAGCCTGGATCATGGCCGCTTATTGTTTAATGCGCTCCTCCAGTGATCCAGCTGGCACCGCCGCTCCTGCTGACTCCATGTCTAGGTGTGTTATTCTGTCACGCGACGTGTATGCGGTTAGCGAAGTCAAAAGCAGGACACAGAGCGGCTGGCAACGTATTTTACTGAACACAGGACCTCCAAACAGGGAGGAAAAGACCCGTACATACAAGAACTGCCGGAATGACAACAAACAATAACACACAAAATAACTAATGAGAGACAGGGGTTAATATAGGGAATACAATCCAACATAATGGGAAACAGGTGTAAACAATAAAGACCAAACAAGACAAACACCGAAACATCGATCGGCAGCAGTTAGTACTCCGGGGACGACGAACGCCGAAGCCTGCCCAAGCAAGGAGGAGGAGCAGCCTCGGCTGAATCCGTGACAATTTCAGCACAGAGGTCTGTGCAATGGTATCCCTGATTTTCTTGAAAGCCAGCTCATGTCTCTCTGACCACTCCAAAAGTGAGTCCTTATGTGTTAGCTGTCGCAGTGGCTCGCAGAACTCTGTGGCGTGGCTCCAGAACTTGGATAGGTAGTTTACCATGCCCAGGAAGCGCTGCACCCCCTGCACATCTGTAGGCCTAGGCATCTGTCTGATGGCTGTCACTTTTCCTGAATCCACTTTCAACCCCTCTGATGTTAGCAGGTGGCCAATGTAGGGCACTTCCTTCAGCCTGAGCTGCAGCTTCTCCAGATTCAGCTTGATATTGAGCTTCCTGCATCTGTCCAGGAGCATTCTCAGGTTCTTGTCATGGTCCATAGTCGCTGCTTCATCGTTGTCTCCTTCTCCCACAATCAGGATGTCATCCTGGAAGACCTTCCATTGCCTGGTTCAACTTCCTCTGAAAGATCTCTGGGGCTGGACTGATTCCCATTGGCATGCGCATCCACCTGTAGCGTCCCATTGGAGTAGAGAACGTGGTGAGATAGCTGGATTCCTCCTCCAGTTCCACATGCTAAAATCCATTTTTTACATCACAAACAGAGAACACGCATTCTCTGTTCAGGTCTGGCAGCACATCTTCAATAGTGGGAAGTGGTTAATGGCTCCTCTTGAGCGCCTTGTTGAGAGGTTTTGGATCAATACACACTTGTAATTTTCCAGACGGTTTCTGCACTACGATCAGGCTGTTAATCCAATCTGTGATGGGTTTTGAACATTTTATTCAGGTTTCTCTAGACCACCGAGCTCCTCCTACGAGTGGTTTACATAGTGCTACTGGCATTCTTCTCTTTGGCAGCTGGACACGCTCCACTCACTCATCCACTTCTAGCTTCAGTTTGCCGGGTAAGCATCCGTCTCCCTGGAATACATCAGCGTGCTCCTGTTTTATTTGCTCTTTAGTCCAGGATCCTGTTGCTTTCTCGATGGCCAGGATGTTGTGATGCTGCACAGTAATCAACTCCATTGCCTGGATAGCCTTACTGACTAGAATGGGCCTGTGCAGATACTTGTTGACTACGATGAACTCAACTCTGTAGGTTTTCTTATTGCGTGGATTGATCACTTTAAGTGTGCACTTCCCCTGTGGCGTCAGAGTACTCTTGTTATACATCACCAATACCTGACTGCAGGGCTCTAGGTGACTGGCTTTTATGAGGTTTGCAGGGATAACATTACAACTAGCACCACAATCTAGCTGAAATTTGACTGACTTTTTGTTGACCAGCATGGTTGCAAAGAGAGCTGCATTGGGGTCTGTGGTTTTCTCTTGTACCACGTTGATGCTCTCTGACTTTGGCCCTAGTGTGATGCAGAGAACATCCTCACCGCTTTCTGAGTCAGCTGACACATTTTCCATTGCCAGGACTCTGTTTCTCTTGCTGGTCCCTGCACTTTTGCAAACCGTAGAGAAGGGATTGTTTTTTTCTCACAGGATTTACATTTTTGTACATATGAAGGGGATTTTTCATTTTTTCTCATGTGTCTGTGCACAGTATCTGCATTGTATAATGCTCTGTCCCTCTGTAGGGTCTCCTCTTCCTCTCGGTCTCTCTTTCTGTGTTACTGCATGCACTGCTACAGGGCCCTGCACATGTATGACTTTAGCTCTCTGTCTGGACAGTTCTGCAGCTCTTCCAATCTGTACACATTTCTCTAAACTGAGATCAGTCTCTCTGAGTAAGCACTCTCTTAAGTGTGGGTCACACCTGCCACACACAATCCTGTCCCTGATAAGAGAGTCTGTGATTACTCCAAAGTTGCAGGTGGCCACTAGGATACTCAATTCAGTGAGATATTTGTATTAACTTTCATCTTGGCCCTGACTGCGCATGAAAAAATTATATCTCTCAATTGTTTTCATTTTTCTTGGGATCACAAAATGCATCCAGTGCTGCAATTACTTCCTCAACAAAGAGATTGTATTTTGTACTGCCCACACAGATGGTCTCACAAATCTCTCTGCCTTTTTCGCCAATGAGATAATACAATAGCTTCACTTTGTAGTCATCAGGTTTTTCTCCCATTGTAAGAGCCATGTGGAAATTGAATTCCTCTTTCCATCTTTTCCAGGTAAGTGCTAAATTGCAATCATCAAAGTCTATTTTTCCCTGAGGTTTCAGTGCATTTTCCATGGTAATTTATTTGTAGAATGGAATGTTAGCTACTCACGAATTTGCTTGTGTCCAATAGCCGGTTAGCTTTTAGCATAGAATCACTCATGATAGCCAGCTGGCGTTGACGTTCGACGTGATGACTAGCTTGTAAACGCAGCACTTTTCCAAACTGCCGCCTGGGATGTATTCTTCATTTACATCAATGAGATCCAAGTTCTTTTGAGTACCGCTGCCACCATGTTTCAATAGGCTTTGTGTTGTAGTCACGACAGACAAAGATATATAGTTAAGCAAACTTTACTATGCATGTTGTTAACCAGCACCTCAAGTACATGAAGACGGTAAATAATTATTGGTTTCCGTTTCCTGTGTAACATCAATATGAGTAACATCAATATTGCTACAGAACCCACTATTTATGGAGGAGCTGAGAGGAAATGTGGGCAGCGGAGACGGTCTGTTAAGCTCCTGCTTTGTGTTAAAACAGCTAAAATGACCAGCAAAACAATCTTTGGCAAAGCCATTTTATATTCTAGCTGGCATGAACAGCAGCTCTATCATCACATACAGATCATCATACTCGTATAGAGAAACTGGTTAATTAGCCTAGCTATATTACACTAACCTGGCAACGTGAAATGATGGCAGAACATTTGATTCAGTAAAACTCTCAACCCGATCAGGTACAGCCTGAGAGTAGGTAAAATACAACCCAGAAACCCCATTAACTGAAGGCTGTGTTTGCGTGCACTTCTCCGGTCTCTTTATAATGACAGGCAGACAGCCGAATCCCTCACTCCAGCGAGTGACCCCATCCCAACACTGAACCACACGCCATTTATATCTGGAGGCCATGTTTACTCACATGAAAAACACAGACTTAACATGTGTGTGTGTTTATGTGTATTTTATTTTATTTACTAGGATCCCCATTAGCCGACGCCAATGGTGACAGCTAGCCTTACTGGGGTCCGACACATAACGAAAAATACATTACAGACAAAATACTTTACAATTTACATACATTGACAAAGAGAGAGAGAAAGAGAGTGTGTGAGTGAATGAGTGAGTGAGTGAGTGTGTGCTACATGTTGCATAACTTGAAGATAAGTGCAGTGGACATGGAGCATGACAGGACTCGAGGGTGTGTGTGCTAACCAACACAGAGAACACATTCAGCTTAGCCCAGGACTAAGAACTTCCAATGGCTAAGGGAGCCTCGAAGCCCAGGGCTAATGGAGGTTTGAAAGTGGAATAACCCCAACCTTAGCCCAGGGGTTAGCTGGACCTGCTCCAGAGTAGGGTTAGTAGTACCGACTTTTTGATATTTACCCCGGAAATCACCCAAAACAGCCAGTGTGGCCCTGGGGTTTGGTCTAGTGGTTACTTCCAATGCCTTTGGTGTATGTATGTCAATATAATCGAGTGTGGGATTGAATCCCCGTCCCACCGCTATTTCCACACACAACCTTCTCTTTCGATTACCTGGCTGTTTCTACTGTCTTTATAATAAAACATGAAAAAAATGTGGGCTTCAGGGAACACGTTTGAGCTGACTTTTAACCCTGGTTTAATGTTAATCCTTGGGTTAACAAATGCCTGTGTGTCAGGAGGGTAAGCTAGCCCTGGGACAGTTTTAACCTGGGTTAAAGAGAGGGATAAGGAGGTACCGTCTGTAAAGCCCTAGAGGCAGAGAGAGAGGAGAGAGACACACCGAGCGAGCTCAGTTGTGAATTTATTCCTTGTGTTATTATTTTTCTATTATTTCAAAAATGTTCTCTTTGCATTGTTGGGAAGGGCCCGTAACTGTTGTTTACGAAGCATGTGACAAATACATTTGATTTTAAGGGAGTAAATAAGGAGATGGAGAGACAGAAGGAGAGAGTGGGAGGGAAGGAGAGACTGGGAGGGAAGGAGAGACTGGGAGGGAATGAGAGGATAATGACAAATCACATCACAGTGACCTTGAGCTCATAGCACAGACAAAGAGGAAACCGTGGGGGGCCACTTTATACTGACATCTGAAAACATACTCATGGCTTTACCACTGAGTGTTTGATAATAATAACGTCTGAGTACGAGTGTGATGACACAGACAGTTTGTGTGTGTGTGTGTGTCTAGACAGTCTATGATATAATATGCCATTTAGCAGACGATTTTATCCAAAGCGACTTACAGTCATGTGTGCATAATTTTTTTTTTTTACATATGGGTGGTCGCGGGGATCGAACCCACTACCCTGGCGTTACAAGCACCAGGCTCTACCAATTGAGCTACAGAGGACCCAAACACACACATCCCTTCTATAGTTGACCATGAAAGGTTGACTGGCCTGACTCCCAGAGAAGCATTTTTTAAACACCCAACATCAATCACTCGAAGCCCAGTCAGAACGCTGTCTATGTGTAAGCTCGTCTGTTTAGAAGAAAGGAGCCTGTTCCATGTTGTCTTGATGAACTGTTTTTTTTTTGTGTAAAAATATTTCATTTTTCACAGACTGTCTCACATACCATAACCTAGTTGTAGTGTTAGTAATCTAAAGATATTTGTTCCCTATACTGTCATCTTCCTGTGTGACAAGCACACTTAGTCTCGGTCCATGTGATCTCCACACACACAAGGATGAACCGCTTCACTGACCCTCAACCTAGAAATACACTATCTTACACACACACACACACACAGAGAGAAGGGCGGCTATACATTGTGTCCTTGATGTGTCCTTCAGCCCCTCATGTTGGTATGTGGATGGTTTATCTGTTTCTTCCAGGCAGGATAGAAGCCATTATTCTGTCAGTCAGTTTATACAGGTTCAGCTTGATCAGAACACTGTCTGGCTGTTGATCTATTTATCCTTTCTTTAAGTAGGCCTATTATTTAAGTGAATGGACAAGTACAATGCACACACACATGCACTCAGACACACGCACTCAGACACACACACACTGCCAAGTGGCCGACATGCCTGAAGGTGCATTATATATTGAATACAATCACGCAAAGCGCCAAATGTCAGCTGAAGTCTAAGACCTGCGTAAAAAGCAACATTGACTCGGCATGGCTGTGATGATTAGAAGAATAAATGGCATGCTCATCGCTATTATTGTAATAAATGTATTAGGGTGCAGGGTTGTAAAGGCATATGATAGAAGAGATTAATCCCACACTGAAAGACAGTAGTCTTTAGATATTCTTTATTGGGCAGCAGCAGAGGTCACGAACGCGTTTGCCAGCGTCAGGGAATAGAGTACTAGCGACAAACATCAAATGATTGCTGCATGACACAAGAAAAGCTCAGGTAAGAAATTGGATTCTATAGGGGGAAGAATAATCCTTTAAAAAAAAGTATTCTTGTTTGATCGTGTTAGGCGGCAGGTAGCCTAGCGATTAAAAGCGTTGGGCCAGTAACCGAAGGTCGCTGGTTCTAAACACCGAGCCGACTACGTTGCTCTGAATAAGAGCGTCTGCTAAATGTAGAACTGTTCGATGATAATGCCAATGTCAGATAATACACGACTATGCAGTTCATATCCAGTTTTTCCCAAACTCGATCCTCGGGACCCCAAGGGGTGCACGTTCTGTTTTTTTCCCTAACACTATACACAGCTGATTCAAATTATCAAAGCTTAATGATAAGTTTATTATTTTTATCAGCTTTGTAGTGCTAGGGCAAAAAACAAACAAAACGTGCCCCCCTTGGGATCCCAAGGACAGAGTCTGGGAAACCCTGTCATATGCACAACCCACGCACGCACTCACGCACGGGCGAACACACACACACGCAACGATGATACATTGGTATTGCCACAGCCCAAACGTGCCCACTGGGACGGCGCCGGTTCCCGCGCAGTGTCTTTGCCTGTCCTCGTGCTCTAATCTGGTATTCTAGCCGCTACCGCTCCGCTCAAACTGGAGAAGATAACAGAACATTCCTGTCGGGGGGACATTGTGTCACCTTAGGCTCTGTGGCCAGCCCACAGCGATACTGTTACTGTTATCTGGAGGCATTACAGGCGAATAAGAACCCAATAAACCAAAATGAAGACACATTTATATGCTCCTCGTTTTGTATTGTGATTGGCCAAAAAAAGTAGAATTCCCAACTGACCTTTTTGCCAGGTTTCTATCTCCAAAGAGATATTTAGCCTCAAGACATAACTGGTAAATAAGATTTAAAAATACCTTTCATAACGGACTGGAGCCTGGAGGCGCAACCGGGAAACAGGTTATGCGCGGGACTGTGTCTGTTTCTGTCATGTTCCTGTCAGAGAAAACACTTGTTCTGACACTACAGAGCCACACACACACACACACACACACACACACACACACACACACACACACACACACACACACACACACACACACACACACACACACAGGAGCGTGAAGCGGAGGAGACGTGCTGACTTACCAGGGTGACCCTCTGTCAGACGGGTCTCTCTCCACCGTTAGGTTATTCGGTGGTGTTCGAGGGTCACCCTCCACCGTTAGGTTATTCGGTGGTGTTCCCGGTGTTAATCAGATCAGATGCCGTGGTCGCAATCCACGTCTCTACAGATGTACCAGAGGATCACATAGAGGATGAGGAGGATGGCGAAGATGAACAGAGCTACTAGAATTGCCTTGTTCACTGGAGAGAGGAACGACTGCATGACAGAGCTCATCCGCAGACAGTGTGTGACAGCACTGTGTGTGTGTGCGCGCGCGCGTGTGTGTGTGTGCGTGCAGGTTTCTGTGTGTGTGTTTCCACGCTATGCGTCTCAATAACACACTTATCTGCTCTCTGTCATCATTAACTGTTGAGGATGGAAGTGCGGAATCCTCATACAATCACTCACAAAGTCACCTAAACACACACACACACACACACACATACACACACACAGACAGACACACACGCGCAAACAGCTCGGGCTTCCCTCCAAATAAAACATCAATTCCTAAGAGCAGAAATCCAGAAATACACCAGAAGTCCTCTCTGTTATATAGTCGTTATGAATCCGCTGTCTCTGGGCTATTAAACAAAATGGTATCTTCATGTATGAAATCCACAGTCAACAATACTGATAAATCCAATAATGAACATAGTGATGGAGAAAGCCAAAACAATACATCTAAAATCCACCAGAACCCATTTGAATCGGAGGATCTCCAAGTTGCGAGCTGTTGCTGCTTGCTGCGCTCCGTTAGGGAAGGAAACAGGTTGATTATTATTCCTATCCTCTCGGTGAGGCGCGTGGTCAACTCTGTTAAAGGCGCTGGAGGGCGACCAGCATGCAGCACACGCTGTGAGGGGCTTGGTAATAATGATAATAATAACACGTTCCTGTCTTGACTCGAGGCTATAGAAATCTCTTTGGCTATACATTCGCTCTGTTAGTAGCTAGTAACAGAATATAGGGTTGTATGTTTATCATATCATATTGTACTATAACAGATCATGCTAGCAACAACATTCGTTCATTTGAACATGATTAAGCTTTATTTCAGAGAGCTATGTTATTCATTAGTATAGGCCTATATTTATAGATGTATTTGTATCATCATCATCATTATCATTTCGTTCATCAACATTAGCCTATTAATTTCATTGGAACAATTCGGATAAACTGATAGCCTAATGGTTAGGCTATCATCAATAATGATCTAAATAGGATTTCTTATTTGGTATAAATAGAATAAACTGAAAATCCATATAAATAAAACAACGATCAGCATGCTGCCTGTTTAGGGTTCTTGGAGCGAAGACATTCATCAGAATGTGACTCTTCTTAATGACAATACTATAAGAGCGGCGTGCACCAATTCAGCGTATTAATGAATCTGGTACTATTATGAACCACTAGATGGCGACAACAGGCTGCTTTCTCCATATAGTGGCCACTCTAGTTGCGCTGGTCTCACTACCATAGAGTAGGGTTTCCCAGGTGCACATTTAGTTTTTTGCCCTGGCACTACACAGCAGATTCAAATAATCAAAGCTTGATAATGAGTTGGTTATTTGAATCAGCTGTGTATTACTAGGGCAAAAACCAAAATGTGCATATACAGGACCTAGTTTGGGAAACCCTGCTAAAGGTTGTATTACCTTGGGCCGGCCCTAAGCAAGATTTGGGCGTAGAGAAAATGTTTCAGTTTTAAAGCATTTATGCAGTTCTACACATTTAGCCATGGGGAGGAGATCATTTTTCAATTGTATACAAAAATTAATGCAATTCTACTCATTTTGCCATGGGGCAGAGAGACATTTTTGCAGTTTTAAAGCAACTTTTCTGCAGTTCTACAAATTTTGCCACAGGGCGGAGAGAACTGTACTTATTTACCTCAGCCTGCCTAGTCAGCTAGCCAGCTACAGTAGCTAACGTTAGCTAGCTAGCTACTGTAACTTATTGTAGCTTTCTGCTTGTATGTAGCTTGCACTTCAATGGCATCCCTCGAGGAGATTCTATTTTATCTTTCCAACCAGGCGAAGTACTATGAAGGAACCACTGATTTCGACCACAGGCGCAACATTCAGAAATATTCACAATTCAGGGTAACGTTAAGCAGTTAACTTCTATTAGATAACTGGACAGAATTTTCAGCAACCATTTTCCATCTAGCTAGTTGGTCATCTACATGTTGCTAGCTATACATATACAGCAACAGTCAAAAGTTTGGACACACCTACTCATTCCAGGGTTTTTCTTTATTTTTACTATTTTCTACATTGTAGAATAATAGTGAAGACATCAAAACGATGAAATAACACATATGGAATCATATAGCAACCAAAAAAGTGTTAAACAAATCAAAGTATATTTTATATTTGAGATTCTTCAAAGTAGCCACCCTTAGCTTGATGACAGCTTTGCAAATTCTTGGCATTTTCTCAACCAGCTTCACATGGAATGCTTTTCCAACAGTCTTGAAGGAGTTCCCAAATATGCTGAGCACTTGTTAGCTGCTTTACCTTCACTCTGCGGTCCAAACTCATCCCAAACCATCTCAATTGGGTTGAAGTCGGGTGATTGTGGAGGCCAGGTCATCTGATGCAACAATTCATCACTCTCCTTCATGGTCAAATAGCCCTTACACAGCCTGGAGGTGGGTTTTGGGTCATTGTCCTGTTGAAAAACAAATTATAGTCCCACTAAGCGCAAACCAGATGGGATGGCATATCGCTGCAGAATGCTGTGGTAGCCATGCTGGTTAAGTGTGCCTTGAATTCTAAATAAATCACTGACAGTGTCACCAGCAAAGCACCACCACACCATCACACCTCCTCCTCCATAATTCATGGTGGGAACCACACATGCGGAGACAGACAGAGAGAGAGATGGCGAGAGAGAAACGGAGAGAGAAAGACAGCAGTGCAAATGTACTTTGACTTTAGTATTTCAACAACTCTTCTCTTCCAACATGTTAGGCAATCACATGTACCTACCGGGGAAGGACGGCAAGCCACACAGGAGGGTGACTTTTACTAAGGAGGAGAAGGAGGCCGTGCTGACCGAGATGCATGTTGGCCATTTCGGAATGAAGCGCATGATTGCCAAAATCAACCAATTTCTGACGGGGAATTGTCAATGAGGTGGACAGCTTGGCAAGTGAAATAACCTTTTGCTTATCAATCACATTCTATTATATCTGAAATTATTATGATTTCAGTTAATGTCATATCAGAGAGCACACAATGTTTCAATTTGTCACTTTGTGCTTAAAGGTCAGTACCCTGTCTAGCCTGCCAGAAGTTTGAGAGGGTGAAGACTGTGGCGCCGGAGTTGAAGCCCATCAAAGTTGTTTCACCATGGCACATGATCGGTAAGTGTCCCAATTCAAATTCTGCCCTGATAAGTTGTTTTGTAATGGTTGCTTTATTTGACCACAGCAGAGTTCAATATTATTGAATGTGTGTGTGAGTGTCAGTATCCTTACAAATATGAAAATCTGCATACTGTATGACACAGATACGGGTAAGAATAAAGTAATCTTCACTCTAACACTTTAAATGTTAGGGGTGGACCTCATTGGTCCCTTCACGAAATCCAGGAATGGCAACAGCTGGTGTCTGATGGCGACCGATCACTTTACCAAGTGGGTCGAGGCAATACCCATTAAGGTCAGTAAAGGAAGAGTATGTGCTTAACTTTAAATTCCTTTCTGTAACCCATTAAAAAGGGTGCTTGGAACCAAAAATAGATTTTCGTTTTGTATGATACCCATCAAGGACAAGACTGGCGAGGCCACCTCCAAGGCGATGATGGACATCTTCAACACCCACGGTTCTCCTGAGGTCATCTTGAGTGACCGAGGTCATGAACACTGTATCAAAGTACGGATGTTATAGGTTATATTCTGTCACTAATGGTTTGTTTTATTTATTTTTTACAATTTGTTTTTTCATGGTACATAATCAGACATATTTCAATATCTTACATTGTCAATAGATATCGCTTTCCCTACCCCTCCTCCAGGTTTGGTGAATGGACCAACCAGACCCTCAAGACTGCCATGGGCGAGTCCCTTGATTGGTACCAGGAAGGGTGGGAGAACAACCTGAAGGTAATTCTCTTTGCACACAACAGCAGCATCCAGGCCTCCACTGAGTACGGACGGGAGCCGCAGCTGTTGACTGAGGTAAACAATGCAATTGTATATACAATTATTGCATATACTGTAGTCTTTCAAATTTGTGTTTGTCTTTTGCTATTTTTGTGTAACGTACTTTCAGATCACTGAAACCCCACCTGATGTGGTGGAAGTTGTCGAACCAGATCAGAACGCCTTCGAGGACCACCTTCAGGCACGGACTGAGAAGGATGTGGAGGTTTTTGACCAGGTAAAAATGATTGTCCGCTGTTAATTTATTTTCTGGCCCTCCAAGAGATATGTAAGAAATGTATTTGTAATATGAAATATAATTGCATTTATTCCTGTTATCAATCAAGGAGACTGAACATCGACAAGGCGCAGGAGAAAGAGAAGGAGAGCTACTGGAGCAGAATCAAGAAGGGGACCAAGTGCTACGACATCCAGGCAAATTATTTGGTTTGAAAGAAGGACAAAAGGAAGGCGAGACCTGGGAAACCTCGCTGCTCTTTTGCTCCTAGCTGGGGTCACCATCTGTTAAGGTGAGTATAAAGAATCTCAAATAATAACAATTTGCATTTGCACACAAAATAACCTGAAGCTAATTTTAGTTTCCCTAACACTGATATGTTTCTCTTTGTCTTCCTAGGGTTACCTCGGTGGAAGCCAACAATCCTCTCCAGTTGGAGCAGTTGGACGGTCGACCACTGAAAGCACTGACGCCCTACACTTCGGTGAAGCCCAATAGACAAAGTATGTTAAGCTTTGGTTGACATTTGAGAAAGCAAGAAATGGTAGTTATGCTGAGCTTATAAAAAGGTACCTCTTCAATTTACCTCTTCAAATGACTTTAGGACCATCGACTGTCCGAGCCCCCCAGTAGGTATCCCATTCACCAGAGCCAGTGAGTTTGGATCAGTCTGATTCTCTGTGCTCTGAGTCGGAGGGGGACCAGCTTGAGGTAGGCTATACCTTCCAAAACTGTTGAAAAGTATGTATCTCACATTTATAACACTGCACTAATCCATCAAATTTTCTCACAGTAAAGTGTAACCTGTG